TTATATGTAACTAGTATTTCTTCTAATTATTATAAAGTGAAAGTGTTGTTTACATCAATACATAATATTCTAGAGACATCTTTCATTAGTTACAGGAAGTAGTGCATCAGAATAGATTAATAATCATGTAACATATTAAGAAATAGTAATGTTTGATTTTCCTCAATAATATCTTCTAACGAGTGTTCCAGGAAAAATAGGCCTCTCCGTATGTTAATGATATCTCTATTGATTATCTACAAAGCGGTACAATTCTTACTAATGTGAATGAAATCCGTAATTTTACAGGACACACGTCAAGCAAACAGTTAAACGTGAACAATTTTGTAAAAAAAAATCTTTTTTATTAAGTTATTTTTCTCGTATCATACAGTTTTTGTATGGTAGCTTCTTTCAATATAATTGATAAAATCTATAAATCTGTCTCAAAGTTGAATACTTCAATTTATTTAGATCTGAACACTACGGTGGTCAATGGTTCTTGATGATGAAAGAGGGTAAGTTGATAAATGTGAAACTTTGCATTACGATCTGCTGAAATGTCCGCTCTATTCTTAAGATTTCATTTCTACACTTTAGTAGTACCGAAATAACATTCTTGATGTATTCGACGTCATCTAAGGTCACTTAAACAAAGAAAGACTAAAGACGTGGATATTAAAAGAAATATCATTAAAATACAGAGGACCGTTTTTCTTGGGAAAACCCCCATTACATTTTATACCTGTTAGTTTAAAACTTGATATCTATGAAATTATGTATAAAAACGGATTATTTTTAAGGATAGCTTGTTATAACATACACATATCATATTAGAAATTATAATCGTAAAAGTGAACATATAGAAAGAATATGAATTTATAACTGCCAAAGGAAGCATATGATCCTACGATAACCGAAGATGGGTTCCAAAAGAGTCAATATATTATTTTGTATTAAAGAAATAATTCTATAATTTTTTTCAATTAAAACTTCACTGGACACACGAAGTGGTAATTATTTTTTTGAGCAAAAAAAGATACTAATGACAAATACGAAAAAGCTCAGAGCTTCGTGTTGCAAGAGAACAGACAAAGTATACAATATTATATGACATTGAGCGAACAATAAATCATATGAAACATAGTAAGATATGTTATCAAATAAAGTAAAGCTGGACAGTTGAATGATTTTCTACCCATATTAACATGATATTAATAAACTTGTCAGCGTGGTCCCTTGCGGGACTAAAGTGTGGAACTCACGAACACTGACTTCTATAAATAAATCAAGACTATAATGATTTTTACTTTAAAAATTTCTATGCATTATCAGATGCATCGTCAATGCATAACTTCCTTTCTCCTAATGATAATGTATCTACGATACACATCATAGACTCTAGCTATTAAAGAAAGAGATGTAAGGAAAAGAGCCTTGGTAAGTCCACAGACTGCGCAAGCCATTGAAATTCAACACAGTCCAGGAACTGATTGAAATAGACGAAGCCATGAAACTCAAGAACTTGTTTGTAGGAAAAAACTTGTAGAAGTTCATAGAAATTGAGCAAATTGTAAAACTCAACGAACTATACTTATAACATGATCATGAAGAATCTAAGCCTCATCGATCACTCAAATAATCAATGAAACTAGAAGTTTTCATTGTTGCATTTTAAGTTTAAAATATATACAGAATAGCAGTTGATTGATTTCAACTAATAAGGAAAACTACATACACTTTCACATACAACATGTAAATGTAATTGATCTTAATCGAGACACTTCTAAGAGGACGTACTCCATCAGTTTAGATACATTAATTTCTAATCATAAATTTTCTATTCTAGTCTTTTTCGCTGCACAACACAAAACGTAAGCATAAGTAAGGATGCTTGTTCTGTTTATATGGCTTTTAAGAAAGTTGGCCATAGCGTGTTGTCTATGGTCAGGTATCGCCAATCTGCGAGAACAAGATAACTTTTAGAATAAAAAGTCATCATCGACCAACTCTTATGTGTATAATTGTTGTTCGATGGCAAAACGACCGTATCTAGGACGGCGTCCTTCAGAAAGTGAAGGAAAAACAAATCTCTTATTCATTACGAGATGATATTAGAGTAATCGCAAAATCATGTTTTGTTTTTGACTTTTACTTGATATTCAATTAGATGATGAGTTTTTTATAATTTCATTCCCTTTGAGAAGACATTTTCAAAACACCATTCCGTCAATTATGTGGAAAGTCAATGCCTCGAGTTGTATTCCTTACTCGAGATAACGCGAGAACACAATATTTTCTTAAAACACTGATTCGTTGCATTCTTTTTATTTAAAAAATATTCACATGTTTTCACTGAGACATCGTGGCAAAAATACAAAGAAGGGGTAAATCTCATTCTCATAATCACTATAGGCTTCGAGTCTATGAATGAATTGTGATATTTATCCCAAAAAATCGAGTAACTACACATGCAAGAACTATCGACAAGCGAGAAAAATTCTTCGAAAAGTGATTATATAATCTGAGAATTTTACCGATGTGCTCAATGCGTCTGACGAATAGCAGTGATTCTAATCAAATAATTTGGATTCTCAATAATTATGCTCACTTTGAAGGCAATAATCAACGATATCCTACCGTTATTTACTCGAGGGCTGATTTCCATGGTCGATATCTAAAAATATGAGATATTTGATGAATATCCATTTTCTCGAATAATTATTGTCTGACCTGTGAAATAATCGAGCTGGCTTCAGTGTGTACGATACTGGTGTCGCCTACTGCAGCTGCATCATTCTATGAACAAAAGAAAATAGGTATACAAAAAGGACAAAGCACTCGCGAATTGTTTGAATTACTCGAACTCTGCTGGAGCTTTTTCTTCTTGCTTCATCTACGGCCGCTGCAGCCTTGATCGAAGCATCTGCAATAAAAGATCATCATTCTTTTTATAATAGCCTTGTTGTATCATTTTCGGGTGTGGTTTTATTTTAATCTTATTCCTAGAGATTTTCTATAATTTAGAGTCATTTTTCATTCATTTCTAATGGTTTCTTATGGCTTATCATAGTTTCTGATGGCTTCCTATAGTTTTCAAGTATTTCTAGTCATTACTCGTATTCTCAAGGCATTGTTATGATTTTTGGTAACTTCTAATGATGTATAATGATTTCCAGAATAAAAATTAGTTTATTTCCCCCTTGATCTAATATTTTTAATTATATATTGAAATTCCACTACATGATTTCCGTATATCAGAGAAACAGATACTTCCTTTGTAGTGATTTAGAGTCTTCTGATATCGTCGTGCGTCTTTTTTCATATCAGTTTAGCTAATTTATTCTTATATTCTATATGACATCCGCTTGATCTCAAGTTAATTTTTATTACAGATGATAACTTGAGTACTTTACTTAAGTGAAATGCATCTCGAATTAATATTGACTACAAAAAGAAACTATTGGTTTATCGGCACTATCAATTCTAATACAATTTTCGCTGTTGTAAAATCAAAGATTCCTCTCTCCCTTTGTGTAAAAGTTTATATACGTTTGCTAATTTAGTGATCCTTCTCTAAGATTTCTAACTTAGATTCCTTGTATCACTGATTTATGTAAGCAGTAAAGAATCTAACAGATATGGGTGAAGTGTCTGATCTGTAGGATGTTTTACATATATATCCTGATGTAAGAAGTGAATGCGAGTAGGGAATTCTTTTCTGACTTATTAATTATTCGAACTTTCGCCTAATCAGCATTAAGAATAATCAGCTGCTGTGTCACTTAACAGATTTCTACATCACTCATATCCACACTCTGTCGCAAGACGGCGAACACTCTTTATTGAAGTTTATAGTAATTCATCTAACATGGGACTAAAATAAAGTGCACAGGTCATCGTTCTAAATAACATTTAACTGAGACCAAACAAGTATCTACTTTTAATTTCTCACTTCTTCTTACCTTTGTATCATAAAGCAATTATTCCAGTAGAAAATACAAGCAAATTCAGTTCGACAAAGATAAAACTTCATTATTCACAATTTAGAGTCATGATTTAATCTAGTTCATTGAAAATGTATTAGAGAAAGAAATCAGCAGTGTGAAACTTGAAAGTTAAAATCAATTCAACATTCAATTTTCAATCGTCTATATTTTTGTGGCACTTACATCGAGAGAAATGTGTGTAGTTGAAAATTGAATTGAAACTTAAAACCTGAACCTTGAACTGAATTTAACTTTCAAGTTTGTATACATGATCTGTGTTTATCATCTCCTTCACACATGTCAAGATTTAAGAGCTGAAACTTGAAAAGTTAAAATTAAGGCATCGGATTATTCAAACAGTGGATTCAACTACACAAGTGTTTCATGAGAGTACCTTCACACAGCATCTACCTTGCTGAGCGAGCTACAAACTAGGGTGTGAGGGCACTGGCATGGTACTTTTATTCCGCAACACCTACACCCACCTTCACAACAACATCCACAGAGCTACCGCTACACGTAAGATGTATGTCATTATTTGTGATGGGATTCTGCGGTGTTTGCCGCGTTTATGATGAGATCTCAGGATGTCTATCACGATCTCTAAGCAGCGGTGTGAGATGGTTGAATTTTGTCTGTATATCCTTTAATACCGTTTTCATTAATGGGTGAATAATCATTTTCGAAAGGTTAGTTAATCAGCGAATAATTAGCAATTTATTAGATAATTATTATCTATAAATTAAATATTAATTCAATAATTATTCAATAATTATCCAATGTTATTTAAATAATAATTAAATTTTATTTAAAATGTCTGTCGCGATCTGTGTGGTAGGATGCGCGGGACAATAGGTGATTCATATTTCCACCCTATATACTTCAACACTCCTTTTCGATCGTGTCTCACAAAACTTTTCACTATTTTTTGTCGATCTTGATTTACACTCGTTGGTCCTGCTCGTTTCAATATCTGAGACAGAAGCTAATGAACATGAACGAAGAATTTTCTACCGGAATAATCGGATAATACTAAGAACCTTTTTCACATGAACACATTTCACATATGCGAAATGAATCATTGTTAAGAAATGTACATCGTGGGCATTGCCATTGGAATAATTTAGACGTTAAATCACGTTGATCATCATAGTCCACATATGATAATCGATTATCTGCTGTTGGTGGATTGGAACCTAAAACGAAAAAAGTAATAAATAAAGCTGTTAGCGCAAACATTGTAAGATTAAAATGTGAAACACGATGTAGCTGTTGGTAATCATAGAGAGATTGTTTTTTTAAAATATATTGTGGACACATTTCTTCATTCTGCTTTTACTCAATCTTCCAGAAATGCAAAAAAGAAATAATGAGTATAGGATTACAAGTCGTTATTGATAAACGGTCTCTAATCGCATATCAACAAGTTATGTCATGCTTTGTAATGGTCTGTGACTAGCAGGTATCACAGTCTATAATGGATTGCTACTACGATCGGCTGCCGTAGTGCCTGTCACGGTTTCTGAGAGGGAGAGCGATGGGATTGGAGCGAGTCCAAAGTTTCTACCTTATATACAGTGAACCTCAATTGGCTTTTGCCTATTAGTATTTTTCACTTTTCTTCCCTATAGTTTGTTCTTTTCCTACAACCAAACCCACAGAAAGAAAGTGCAGATTCGACTGCATCTCTTGATATAGGATAATCATGAATCAAATAGAAATTGAAACGAGAAAAACGCATCAGAAGAAAACATAGTATTTTTTTCACTACAATCTGCAAAGGTAGATTATTGTATCTCTAGCTTTTCTCCGTTCGCATGTAAATAGACGTATGCACGTGCAACTTTTATGTACACATTTGATAGCTCATTGTCAGATATTTCTATCGGCTCTATGAAAGACTATGATTGTGAATACGTATTCGAGATTGATATAAAAATATCATTATGAAATTTAGTCATAACCTGTCAAGCCAAGAATTGAAGTTCAAAGAAACATTGGACTTGTTCTGTGGCTTGTATTTATCTATTCTTTTTCTCTCGTCAGTTTCGTTGCATATTTCCACGTTGAGCTAATTCTTGAACATAAATATTCGTGCTTTCTATTTATCGAATGATTTCATACTGTTTCTGTCCACTGTTTCCGTGATGGCACAATACAATAAATACACCAGTGATTTCAAACACAACGTTTTTCAGGAATATCGTCATGGAATTTATGGATGTGGGTTCAGATCATTAGCAAAACGTTTTAAAATCAAAGGTGGTCAGAAATTAATGATGAGCTGGTATGCCCGATAGAACGATACAGTTGAATCCTTGGAACCAAAATGGACAGGTGGTCGACCACGTACCATGGCAAAGGACCAAGTAACGGATTACATTTTATATTTTGTCCATGAGATGAACATGCAATACAAACCGGTGAATTACAAAATGGTACAAGAACACGTTGAAAACTCATTAAATAAGCAAGTTCCATTGAAAACTATTCAAAGATACGGTAGACAAGAATGTGGCATCAAAAGTAAAACAGCTAAGGAGTTAACCAAACGTGATAGTAAATATTCCAGCTTTATTAGCAGTGAATTTGATCATTGCCTTTCAATGACATTCTTCTAACTATAGCTGATGATAGGTATTGGCATGATATTGCGAAATTTCGAAGACGTTTACAAAGATTGGCTAACGATAGGTTAATATTTATCGATGAAACTGCCGTTTATTGTAACATGTATCCTCGTCGAACTCTTGTGACATCTCGAAATCAGCATTTAACTCTTGTTGAGAAACTATCTGCTTATTCTCAACATTATAATTTCATTGGCGCCATCAATGGTTTCCAATCAATTGCTTGTACGGTTTTAACACCCAATGACCGAAAAGCAAAAAGTATTGAAGGTATCTGAAAACATGTGGTGAATGATTGAATTACTAATACATTAGCTCCAGCAATTAACGAATTAAATATCGACAATATGTATTTAATCTGCGACAGAAATCGAGCCCATCACAAAGGGAATATGACGAAAGCATTGAAAAATGCGAAATGTAAATCGGTATTGGATATTTATTTTATGCCAACAGCTTCTGCTAAATACGTATCAGCATTATATACTCCTCTTTGGCATTCCATCAAGGAAGTCATTCGAAGCCATCATCCAATTACAATAAATAATCTTCCAACGCTACTTTCGGAAACTTTTCTTTCGCTATCGAAAAATGAAATCGCAAGCGCGTTTCGAAAATGTGCTATTCCATATGGAGTTGATGTTTTTTATGATAAACCATTTTGATGTCATGCGTTTCCTTTTAATATAATTCAGATGCAATAGCAAATCTAGCGAAAAAAATACTATGTTTTCTTTTGATGCGTTTTTCTCGCTTCGATTTCTATTTGATTCATGATTGTCCTACATCAAAAGATGCAGTCGAATCTGCACTTTCTTTCTATGGGTTTGGTTGTAGGAAAAGGACAAACTATAGGGAAGAAAAGTGAAAAATACTAATAGAGGAAAACCAATCGAGGTTCACTGTAGCAAGTATGTTTTCAAATAAAGTAAAGTGTCAAAGTTAAATGAATTGCTACTCATATTAATATGATATTAATAAACTTCTCAATGCGGCCTCTTGAGGGGCCGAAGTATGGAACTCAGAAACCCTCACTGTTATAAATTTATAATATATTATCAGAAGTTTTTAAATAATTTATTGAAAAAGAATCCCAAAAAATAAATAAATGAAAATTATAACAATTTTCATTTAAAAAACTTCTGTGTATTGTTCGATACGTTGTTAATGCATAACTTTCTTTTTCCTAATGATAACATATCTACGATACGTACCATAGATTCTAGATATTGAAAGAAGAAATATAAAGGGAAGAGAGTCTTAGTAACTTCGCGGACTGCACGAATCATCAAAATTCAATAAAGTCCAGGGACTTATTAAAATAGATGAAACCATGAAAGTCAAAAACCTGCTGGTTGACAAAAACTTGTAGAAATTCACAGAAATAGAAAAAGTTGTAAAATTCAGCGGACACTACTAATAACATTATCATGAAGAATCTAAGCTTCTTCGAGCACTCAAATAATCGATGAAACTAGAAGTTTTCATTGTCACATTTCAACTTCATACAGATTTGAGTTGCCCATCACTTAAATCTCGATGAGAAAGAAATATATACAGAGCAGAAGCTGACTGATTCCAACTAACAAGGAAAAATACATACACTTTCAGATATTGCTTGTTCTGTTTACACGGTTTTAAGAAAAATTGATCGTCAGATGATGTTGATGATCAAGTATCGCCAATCTACGAGGACAGGATAGCTTTTAGAATAAAAAGCCATTGTCGAATAACTCTTATATGTACAAGTATTGTTCGATGGCAAAACGGCGGTATATAGGATGGTGTCCTTCAGAAAGTGAAGGAGAAACAAATCTCTTATTCATTACGAGATGATGTTAGAGTAATCGCAAAATCATGTTTTGTTTATGGCTTTTACTTGATATTCAATTAGATGATGAGTTTCTTATAATTTCATTCCCTTTGAGAAGGCATTTTCAAAACAACATTCTGTCAATTGTGTGGATAGTCAATGACTCGAGTTGTATTCCTTATTCGAGATAATGCGAGAGCACTATATTTTCTTCAAACACTGATTCGTTGCATTCTCTTTATTTAAAACATATTCACATGTTTTCACTGAGACGTCATGGCAAAAATACAAAGAAGGCGAAAATCTCATTCTGATAAGCGTTATAGATTTCGAGTCTTTGAATGAATTGTGATGTATATCCCAAAAAACCGAATACCTACGCATACGCGAACAATCGACAAGCGAGAAAAGTTCTTCAAAAAGTGACCATATAACTTGAGAATTTCTCCAGTGTGCTCAATGCGTCTGACGAATAGCAATGATTTTAATCAAATAATTCGGATTATCAATAAGTGTGCTCATTTTGAAGACAATAATCAACAATATCCTACCTTTATTTACTCGACGGTTGATTTCTATGGTCGATATCTAAAAGTACGAGATATTTGATGAATATCTATTTTCTTGAATAATTATCGTCTGACCTGTGAAGCAATAGAGCTGGCTTCAGTGTGTACGATACTGATGTCGCCTACTGCAGCTGCATCATTCTATGAACAAAAGAAAATAAGTATGAGAAAAGGACAAAGCACCAGCGAATTGTTTGAATTACTCGAACTCTGCTGAAATTTTTTCTTCTTGCTTCATTTACGACCGATGCAACCTTGATCGAAGCATCTGCAATAAAAGATCATCATTCTTTTTATAATAGCCTTGTTGTATCATTTTCGATAAACTGCAACATCGCTTCACTGTTTGATGATTTCTAGTGACTTTTTATCATTGGAAATCAGTTTTTATCAGTTCACCGTGCAGGACTTTAATTTTAGCCTAATTACTAGAGATTTTCTATAATTTAGAGTAATTTTTCATTCATTTCTAATGGTTTTCTATAATTATGAACTATTTACAGATATTACTCGTATCCTTACGGCATTGTTATGATTTTTGGTGACTTCTAATGATGTCTAATCATTTCCAGAATAGAAATTAGTTCGTTTCCCCTTGATTTAATATTTTTAATTTGATATTGGAATTGTAGTGCATAGATACCGTAGATCAGAGAAATATATGTTTCCTTTGTAGTGATTTAGAGTCTTCTGATATCATCTTACGTCTTTTTTCATATCAGTTTAACTTATTTATTCTTGTATTCTATACGACATCCGCTTGATCTCATGTCAATTTTTATTACAGATGATAACTTGAGTACTTTACTTAAGTGAAATATTTCTCGAATTAATATTGACTAAGAAGAGAAACTATTAGTTTACCGGCACTATCGATTCTAACACAGTTTTCGTTGCTGTATGATCAAAAATGCATCTCCTCTTTTGTGTGAAAATTTATGTACATCCGCTAATTAGTGATCGTTCTCTAAGATTTCTAATCTAGTTTTCTTGTATCATTGATTTATGTGAGCAGTGTAGAATTAAACAGGTGTGACCGAAGTATCTGATCTTCATGGCTTCTTAGATTTATATACTGATGTAAGAAGTGAAAATGAGTATAAAATTCCTTTTTAGCTTATCAAATATTCGAACTTTCAACTAGCGAACATTAAGAATAATCAATTGTTGTACTGTTTAACAGATTTCCACATCACTCACACTCACGTCCAAACAGGAAAATAGTCCTTAGGTCCTCAAAACCGAGATATAGTTAACAAATGGAGCATTCTATCAATCTATTCATGTCTACGTTAGTAAATAGTTAGTTAGTACCGAAAGAGCGAGAAACTTTAGTGATCATTTGGCGACTAAACGATACAATATAGAACATAATGACAAGTGAAAACAATTTCGTCCAGAAGATCTATCCTCAGGGGATCTTGATCGGACAGAATTTTTTTAATTTTTGTTAGTTTTAAACTGAATTAAATCATATTTTTCTATTTAGTTTTCGATACTTAATCAGGATCAATGATTTCTAGATAGTCTAGGAAATAAGAATAAGAGCAACTACAGAAGTTTTATCAAATAAAAAGTGACTGTTGATCATATACTGAATTTTATCTATAATTTGAATTTTAAAAAAAAATATTATTGAAGAATAGAATACAATCAAAATTTTGCATTTCCTGAAATTTACTTTGAAATGGATCAATTTACAGACGAAAACATAAGATTATCAGCCTGCTAATAAGAATTAGAGTGCATGAAGTTGTTATAAACAACTCGAATCGATGATCTCATAGAGAAAAGATGAAAACAATCAATCGCAATCAAAACTTCAGCTTTTCCTTCTTTCGGATGTCCTGAGTGACCAATATCTATTGTTTGACTTCTCACTTACCCTTATTTTTGTATCGTAAAGCAATTATTTCAGTAGAAAAAAAGAAGCAAATTCAGTTCAGCAGAGATAAAACTGTATTATTCACAATTTAGAGTCGTTCTTTAATATGGTTAATTGAAAATGCATTAGAGGAAAAATCAGTAGCGTGAAACTTGAAAGTTACACTCAAGTCAAAATTCAATTTTCAATCGTCTATTTTTCTATGGCACTCATATCGAGAGAAATCTGGGTATGGTTGAAAGTTTAATTGAATTTAACTTTCAAGTTTGTAGACATGATCTGTGTTTATCATCTTCTTCACACATGTGAAGACTTAAAAGCTGAAACTTGAAAAGTTAAAATTTAAGTATTGAAATATATAAACAGTGAATTCGACTATACAAGTATTTCACGAAGATAATTTCACAGGGCATCCGGCTTGCTGAAGAAGCTACAAAGTCTTAACACGAAAGAAAAGCAGTGCTGATTAGTTGAATATGTGAACAGTGGAACAATAATTGAATTCAGTCTTCAAGTTTGATACTACTGGTCTATCTCGTTTATTGTTCTCATTCAAGCACTTTAACAAATCTATTGTAACTGAGTATTGTAAAACAATCTACTTAGTTATCCTATTTTTACACGCTTCGTATCTATTCACCCTATTTCTGCAAAGCAGAGCAAAAAAACGATATTACTTTGCTTTGTGATACATTCTTCAATGACTTCGATCAGTTGAGAGCAATTGGGCCGATCGTTGGGATCGTTGGCCCAACACTTTTTGATCAGGACAGAAAAGTTCGATGGTGTGGTCTTGGGTATTTCCAAGCAGTCGCCAGAAAGTACAAATTCACGAATGACGGCATTTTGGTGTTCATCATAAGGTATTTCATTTGCAGCTAGTTCCCAATATACTATTCCTAAGTTGTAAACATCACTTTTATCAGTGTGCTTTTTTAAACGCAGTATTTCAGGAGCAGTCCACTGCAATGTACAAGGTAACACATGAGTCAATAGGGATTGCCGTGATGTTTCATTTCGTGTTTGAGCTAAACCAAAGTCACACACTTTCACGATGTAACCTTCATACGATCTCTCTAACAAAAGATTTAACGACTTGATGTCACAATGTAAGATGGGTGGTTGTAACATATGCAAATAGTTGATGCCTTTGGCTGTTTGTAAAGCGATGGATAATCTTTGAGACCA